AAATTTAGGTTATGTGTACAAAATAACATAATTTGTTTTAATAAATGTTTGTTTTGGTGGTTGACATCTTAATGATCATAAATGAAATGAGTTTCTCATTATCATTAATAATTAGTTTTTATCGAAACCGATGTCACCATGTTTAAACCGAAGTTTAATGTAATTTATCATCCAAGTTAGCATTACCAATAAAAGTTATGCCTACCAAACTACATTTTAGTATTTTTTTTAGTAGATACTTGTTTGGATGATTGATATAATAATTTTAATAGAAGAAATAAGGTACTTATTTGTATTAGTATTTTTTTTTATCAAAACCGATGTCATCGGGTTTAAACCTGGAACATGACATTGGAACATGACATAATATATCATCCATAGTTAGCATTGCAAATAAAAGTTATACGTAAAAAACAACATATTACTATGTTTGTTATGTACTTGTTTTGGTGGTTGAAATGATCATGTTGAAAACAATTTTTTTTTTAGCTTTGGTATACCTTTGGTAGACGAAATCGAGGAGTGACTCGAGACCCAGTCAAGCTGCATGGGGTTAACAATTATTTTCAATATCATTTTCTTTCTCTGGCGAGAAATCATTACAATAAATAAACATATATTAGCCTTGTTGACAAGATACTATCTTGACATCACTAGAAAATGGGGGAATGGGATACGATTATAACCGTGTTACGGTTATTAAAAAAATTCGTATTATATCAAATAATTGGGAGTGAAAGAAATTTTTATCTCTTTTAATCACCATAGTCCATAACACTATTCCTTTCATTTCTACTGCACTACTAGAAAACAGCCTTATAATGACGCGCAAACAATGACACGCGGTGATTTACGATACGCAAAAGCGTGTGCCCTAAAAATAATGTCATCTCTTTTAAAATTTGAAGGATACAGAACACGCTTTTGTGCGTGCCCTAAAATTATTGTCCAAAAAAACATTAAAAACACAGAGGGCACTGATTTAAAAATGGGTGTCGTCTAGGAATGTCACTTTATATTTTTTTTATTAAAAGGCACGCTCTCTTCTTTTACAGCTGGGGGAAATGAAAATACCAAAAGTTTGAAAGGCCGTCATTGTTATCCTCTTCCTTATTTCCATCTTTCTTTTCTATCTCTCTCTATCTATCTCTATCTCTCTCTCCCTCCCCCCCCCCCTCTCTCTCTCTCTCTATATATATATATATATATATATATATATATATATATCACTCTAATACCCAAAAAAAAAACCCTAATATCATCACCAATCCTATAATTTTTGTTGATTTTATTTAGTTCTGCTATTGATGGGCTGTACAATCACCGAAAGGGTGCCGACGATATCTTGCCTAATGGTTTAAAACACCCACCTGAGAGACAATTGTGTAATTAACGTAATTTTGTTCGGATTAAAAGGTTTCACAGCTACTCGAGTGTTACAACTCAATTGCGGAGTTTCTTTTTCCTTATAAGCCCCCAATTTCTGCTTGATTTATAGAATGTAGTTATTGTAATCTACTCGGATGTTGATAAAACCCTAATTCTACATCGATTACTTAGTGTAAGGGTTTTCTGTTCTTGTCTATGTAAAGATTTCTTACCTAATTTCTCCTTCTCGGTTTCATACTCTCCTTGATGCTACTCGCTTGGTTTCAGTTTCAGGTCTGTACCCGTTGTTCTCTGTCAACTCCGATCAAAACCAACCGACCATCCACCCTCGATGTCACCTCCTTTTCCAGTCACCAAGAATCAGCAGACACAGATAGCTGACAACAAGAAAAACACGAACAATAGAGTGGGAGAAAAAAAAAGAGAAATTTGAAATTCGACTTTAGGTAACCATTATTTCGTCGTTCCCTTATTTTTTTTCTAAACCGATTTGTTGTTCAACTATGGAATTTTGGGAAATTTGATGTTTTTCCTCCATCTTCATTTACTATGTCATTCTTAATGATACGTTAATTTGTTTGATTGAGGGTTCGACATGATCAATTACTCAGACCATTATAGGGTTCGACATGTATAGCATCATTTATTTGCTATTTGCAACTAACTGGTCTTCATTAGCGAGTCACACGTAAGTACCTTTGACTGAAACTTTATTGACTTTTCTTTTGACTTTCTGTAATCATTTTTCACAAGTTTATATCATTCATCCTATTTCCTGTTTCTTCCAAATACTCATTTTATTGTCACTTATAGGAACGAAAAGAGAGGCATTTGTACCCCCTTCTTATTCACAATGTAGTTTTGTGAGAAGAATCTTTTCATTACCAACTTGATGCATTGATGTTCAATGATCAACCACGTCCAGATTATGGGGTCGAAGTCATGTACAGGGTAATTACTTCTTATTTCTTAAATCCAATTCTTCTTTTTTCTAAATGATTTTTGACCTTAACATGAATTGCATTTTGTTGGATTTGATCCTTTTAAAAGATCTCTATATTTCGTGTTAGAATTTACAACACATATACTTGAGAAGAACTCTATTTTCTATATTATGAACTGCATACGTACAAAGGGATCACTCCATTGCTGACTAGCTAACTAGCTTGCGAATGAAATGAAACCTGGGGTCCACATGCTTTGTGCGACTACGCAAAGTGGGATTTTTTGTTAAAAGAATTGCAGATTTGTTATATCCATAAATAACAGTGTCTTCAGCTTGTTCTTGTTGAAGTTCCTTTACAACCCTTATCATTCACATTGCTTGACATGTAGCTGCAGTCAAGGAAACATATTTAGCTTTGGTACTTGAAAGTGCAGTGCATTCTTGTTTCTTTGAGCTCCATGTAACAGCTCCTGTTCCTAAAGTGAGCACACTTGCTGAGACGCTTCTTCTATCATCATTATAACCCGCCCAGTCACTATCTGAAAAGCCATAGAGTTTGACTTGAGTTGCTTTGGCATACCAACACTCTAGTGACTATGATCCAAGGCAGGAAAGTATTGAACATCATGAAGGCATCTAGCCTTATCATTCTCAAACTGAATTCTTACTGTACCTTTTCCTTCTCCATGTAATGTTTTTCTATTTCTAAGTTTCAAAGTCATTTTCTTTGAATCATCAAGTTGAGAAAAGGCATTTCGTTTACCTGTTGGATAATAGCCAGTACCTTAGCATCTTTTCTTTTATTTTCTTGTAAGTTTGCTTCTTCATTCTCTGAAGGAAGTCCATGCTCAACTAGTTCCCACAGATCTTGTGATCTTAGTATTGATAGCCTTCTCCTTTGAACAATGGAATTAAAGGTTGTGTAGTGCTTAGTGTAGTCCTGTTGGTTGCCATTTTCAGAACCACAAGGAATCGTTGGCTCTAATACCACAATGCTAGAATTTAGAACACATATACTTGATAAGAACTCTCTTTTCTGTATTATAAACTGTATACGTACAAAGGGAAATCCTAGCTTACTTAAAAGAAATAACAAAGCTAAATCAGTTACTAGAAAATAGGCATACACCTACTAAGGGTAGTGATTAAGATTAGACTAAGTCATTACCATAAAACGAGGAATACTTAGTCTTAAACTTGAAACATGGACATGTAGACAATTTTGAGTCAGTAACTAACATTTCGATCCTTCTTTTGATTTGGGACAAGTTAGTAATTAACATAAAACTTTTTTTTTCTTCAATATCTCTATATCTTACTATCATTAATCGAATTATTTTCTGTTCATGTTCAAGTTCATGTCCATGCTATTTGCTATGCCCATAATAAGCCTAGATAAAAAAGTCAAACTTTGGTCAATCACTCTAAGTTTTGAGAAACAAAACACTTTTTATTTTTGTGTGAATATATCATAAATAATCAACAAAACCTACATAGCCGCCCAATCGGGATTTGCATGAACACTGGTCTGCTGATGCTCCTTGTTATGGTGGCAATACTCCTATGGGTCGCTTTGATTCTCCATGGGAAAATTTTGCCCCTTCTCATGTTCCAATTAGGGGAATACTGTGAGTATGATGTTAGAGATGGAGTACAACTCTGATTTGGGGCTGTTAGAGATACAGAGGTGCAAACAGAGTTTGATGACGAAGATCAACACAAAGTTATTCTTATTGTTCATGGTATGATTTTCACAACTTTTTTTTATTCAGTTAAGGATTTGTGTCTACTTTTTTCATTTTGTTGAAAATTTATGTATTTATTTCAGATACTAAGCCTCCATTTTTGGATGGGAGAGTCGTGTTTACCAAGCAAGCAGAACCGATAATGCCAGTAAAGGATCCAACTTCTGATATGGCTATTATTTCAAGAAAAGGTTCGAACCTTGTTAGAGAAGTTCATGAAAAACAAAGTATGAATAAGCCATGTCAGCGGTTTTGGGAACTTATTGGCTCAAAGGTTGGTGATATTCTTGGAGTTGAGAAGATAGCAGAACAGATTGATACTGATACAGCAGGTGTTGGTAAAGTTGATTTTAAGGAAGAAGCAAAATTTGGCAAACACATGAAAAAGGGTGAAGCAGTAAGCGATTTTGCAAAGTCAAAATCACTTTCACAACAACGTCGGTATCTCCCCATACTTTCTATTCAAGATGAGTTATTACAATTATGTTTTTTTCTTCAAAAATTATAGCCAAAAAAACAATCTGTTGACATTGTTGTGACCCTTGTTTTAGGTAAAACAGGAGAATCAAGTGGTGGTGGTTATAGGTAAAACTGGTTCTGGAAAAACAACACAGTTGACTCAGGTACTTGACTACTTACTTTCCAATCTCAAGTTTTATAATACTCATGATGTTACATACATCTTATTTTAAAATTATATATGTATGTATAAATATATATATATATATATATATATATATATATATATGTATATATGTATATATATATATATATATATATATATAAAGTATTTACATGAAGATGGGTATACAACAAATGGAATAGTAAACAAAAAATAAAATAAAATAAAACTACATATTAATTTGCTAATCATTTGTAGCTACTATTATAGAAATGCTATCAGAGACTTATCAATTGGGATTACCATTGAGAGCTCAAACATATAGTGTGTCTATCTATGGGCTACTGCTTCTAGTAGTGATCTAACAGGAGTTTGACAATATGAGTGATCTAACATGTAAAGGATTATGATGCTACTCTGGATCTAGAGCTAGACTCAATGGACAAATTTGTCCTTCAGTGTCTGGCCTTATATCAGGTTGAGTGTTGAATCGTCGCGTTTGCCACATTAGCACCTAAATTACTTTCAGCCTAGAGAAGGATTAAAAAAAACCATAAATCTCATCAAAACAATATTTGCTCAACTCTCAAAGGTAATTAATTACTGCTGACTTGAATTATCATAATTAACTAATCATATAATCAGTTGTTAAGGTTATTACCAATTTTATAAATTTTATAGTTATCTCAATAATCAATTTATTATAGCAGATCCCAATCTAATTATATTCTCTCTAATAATAAAAAAAACAAAACCATAATTCATATCCAAACATCCCCTTCAAAAACCAATTAAATCATAGTTTCTAAATTTTGGTAGCCAATTGACCGGTTCATAATAATAATTAATTAATGTAACAATTTGATCTTTAATATCAAAAAAAGTTCAAAATAATATGTTGGATTTTCAGATTTCTGTTTAAGACTAGTATATCCTTTCACTGGCCTTGTGTTATGTGTTTAATACAATATGATTTTATTTAATACATATAAATAAAAAGTGATAATTATATATCTAAATATGTAGACTTATTCGTATATAAATAATGCAGATATAAAGGTAACACAACAAGATAGAGGAAATGGTGGCGAAACAGATATTGTTGATGTGATTATTGAGGAAGACATGGTTGCTAGTGCTCAAAACCTGGATATTCTTTGTGTCCCTGTCCCTGCAAACAAAATGAAAATGAGGTATTAATCAGGATGTGATTATTTGTCATGCTTAATCATTGTACTTGATTATATATATATATATATATATATATATATATATATATATATATATATATACACCATGTGCTTGAAATGCCACATGGTAAACTAAGAACACTAATCAGCTTCTATTGTACTTGATATATATGTTTGTAGAATCAATCAAATACAAGTATATCTAAGAATATCAAGTTTTTTTATATTTTATATACGAAGTTTCCATCAACTATCTCCTAACATTAATTTTACATAGTAGTTTTGCATCATCAATCGTTTGTTGGATCCACACCTCTTTCAAACTTCACCCCAATTCCAAATGATACAGCTGAGGTAATTACTAATTTGTGGTTCTTTTCTAAATTATTGCTTTTAATGACATCTCACTCTATGCAATTGTTTTATTCTTTTAGTTTAGGTGTACTGACGCGATATCCCCCTATATTTGCTCTATCTTCACCAGTCTCCCTAGGTAAATAACAAAAAAAAAAAAAAAACTGTAAACCCTAGACACTCTTTCCTAATTGTGTTATTTATATATCAATTTTAACCTTTTTTCATAGGAACCAAATGCCCAAAAGTTTTGAAGCTTGATGTGCGTGGAGAACTAGTGGAGGGAAACATAATTACATGCCACCTGGAGGTTGCATGGTGTGGTGGGAACCCAGCAATAGCATTTCTAGGTAATCCATATTCATACAATTGCTATGTAATTTGACTTGTCAACAGAAAGTCCTAATTAATACTTGTTGCTTTTTTCAGTTTGTTAAGGAGATGATGGAATAGTAGTCCAGTGGTGATTTCGGTGCTAAAAATGAGGAGTATTTATTGACTCTAGATGACTTTGATTCATGTCTAGTTTATAAGATTACTCAAAATAGGAGAAAAAATTGCTTCTGGATCTTATGGTGATCTGTAAGTCCATTATATTTATTATTATTATTATTATTATTATTATTATTATTATTATTATTATTATTAATGCCCATTATTATTATTGTTTAATTTAAGTCTGAATATTCTCTGTCTTTTTTTATTCTTGGCAAGGCATCATGGTGTATATGTTGGTCAGGAAGTTGCTCTCAAAATTCTTAGATCTGAGCACTTGAATGAAGCATTGGAGCATGAATAAAGCATTGATCCTTGACAAGGTAGATATGGACAATGATCTTGAAATTGTATTTACTATTTACTATTTATGTTATTATGTCCACCAAAACATATAATCTCTTTCCCTTGGCTTTTCCCTTGGCAGTTAACTTTTTCATGTCCTTTAAAACTATTTAATGAGGTGCAGGAAGAACATCATACAAACATTTACAAGGAGCTGTTGTATCTATTCAGACTAGGCTTAGAGCAATGGCTGCACAAGATGAGTTCAGAAGAAGAAGAAGAAGGAGCAAGGCTGAAGCTATAGTTGTGAATTCTAACAGAAGATATCGTGTACGTGTTCTTGTGTTGCCATTGTCGATTCGGGAACATCCTTGCTTACGTACTGGCACAACTGTATGTATCTCATGTGAAGCTTTTGTTAGAACTATTAATCTCAAGGATTTCAAGTTTTTCATATTTATTGTATCTAATTAGTTTGTAAATTTTTGTTACAAGTTCTATTGATTTGTTTTATCTTTCCATGGAACGATTATTTGTATGACATTAAATTTTATGCAATGGATTGTATTTTTTTTATAAGATATTTTATTTTCTATTATGAGACATTAAATACAAATTTAATTTGAAAATAAGTAAATCTATAAATAATATTTTTTTAAACATTTAAAATTATGATACGCAAAAATGTGTCTCATCTACATTTATGACATGGCCTTTCATGACGGGGGCTTTCTTGATACGCATTGCGTGTCATTAACACACGCGTCGTAAGTTTACGACACGCGAATGCGTGTCGTCTTCCTTTATGACATAGCCTTCCTTGATACGCATTGTGCGTCGTAAACGCGCGTCGTAATTGCACGTCGTAATTGCGCGTCGTAAATGCGCGTCATCTCTCTTTATGACGGAGCCTTCCTTGACGTGCATTTGCGCGTCGTCTGAGCCTTTTACGACCTGCAATGAGTGTCGTAAAAGGCTATCTTTCAAGTAGTAATGGTTTGTCAATTCGTCATGCCCCCACATCTCTCCTCCTCACCATGACCAGGAGAATTGTAACAACCGTCTGCAAGAGTGGATTAGTGAATGACATAAACGAGTTAAAGACATGGTTTTTGGGAGAAACCATATGTCACCAGGTGACTAAAGGAAGGTTACGATATGACGTGCCAAATATGAGAACGTGTTTCTGGAAGGATGTCCCGACGTGATAAATGTATGACCATGACGTGACGATGACTGCAGCCCAAGCCCATGATCTTTTTGAGTTTCCTTCATATTTAAACCCCTAACACTAGATTTACAACAAAGTTTCCAACCTCCATCACCCTTTAGAACCTTGAAACAAACCCTAGTACTCACTTCTTGATTTGTAAGCATATCCTTGGTGTAACACTCTAAATTTTCAAAAAAAAAAAAATCAATTTTAAATCCCATAAAATCATTACCACATTATCTCAAAAGCACAATGTATCAAATGTCAAAAACACGAGTTAACAAAAACAAGTGATAATATCCTAGAATCCTCGACATAGTCTCAAACATGTATGTACAATCAAGTCGGCGCCTTCCCACGATCCTGAGAAGTATCTGAAACACATAACACACAATCGGGTAAGCATGAAGCTTAATGAGTTTCCTAAAATACCACATATACAAATAATATGCCTCTAATGGCTATAGCTCGGCATCACTACAAGAAAAATCATGAATAGCTATGAAAAAAATGTTACAGAATCAAATTCCATAGCCATTTTGCTATGGAGTATGCTACGGAATGATTTTCTGTAAATTTTTTATTAAAAAATTTTCTACGAAATAAAATTCCATAGCAAAATTATTACTAATTACGGAAAATTGTTACAGAATCGTAATATGTAGTTAGTATGTTACCGAATTTGCTACGGAATTAAAATACATAACAATTTTGCTAAATAAATTGATACAAATCTAAGTTATGTAGCTATTTTGCTACATAATGATTATTTTGCTATGAAATTTAGTTACGAAAATGATTTTCGTAGTTATTTTGCTACGAAATGAGATTCCATAGCTATTATGCTACGGAGTTTTGCTAGAGAACTTATTACATAGCTATTTGGCTACTGTGGGAAATTGTATAGCTATTTTGTTACAAAAATTTCTACAGAACTAAATTATGTAGCTACTTTGCTACAAGATGAAACTTCATAGCTATTTTACCCTTAATGTTTTTTTTAATTTTTTATTACTTATTATTATTATTATTTTTAATTTTAATAAATGATCTTCTGTAACAAATTTATTACAATATTTATACAAAAATGTTACTATAATTACTTGAATAAGTGTATCTTTTCCAACCCTCCACAATTAGTATGAGCACATGATATATACTACATAAGATTAACAAAAATATATATTTTTTTAGAAGATATGGTTATTCAACTTGTAACAATGAGCTAGAAGATTACATGACATTACAAAACGACCAAAATTGCAAAAAGAAGATATAGTTAGGGGTTAAAAATGTAATTTACTCTATGTAATATTTGATGATTGATTACTGAATATTTGAAATGAACATGTTGGGAGATAATTAAGAATTGGAATCTTGAATTCCATTCTGTGTTGTGATAACCGAATGGAATTCCAAGAGATGTAAGTAAGGATTTACTGTGAATTCACATGACCTCATTGAAAAATAAAGCGGCGTTTGGTTCATCAAATGTTTTTGAAGGAATTGGAATCTATTGAGGAATTGGAATCTGTCTTGAATTGGAATCTATTTTAATATTCTGTTTGGTTAGCAGTAAATGGAATTTGAATTCAATTTTATATTTTTTTGGTTGGCGGAAAATGGAATTAGAATAGTGTAAATGACAGAACTACTATTCTTGGTTTTTGCTAACTTTTACTTGTTTATAATTATATGTTAAAATATATTATATAAATTATAAAAAATAGTAAACGGTGGTGGTGGCAGCGGCAATGGTGGCAGAAGCGATGGTGGTTGTGATAGCAGTAGTGGGTGGTGGTGACGAAGGTAGAGGTGGTGGTAGTAGTTACATCACTAGTGTTAATGGTAAATAGAGTGGTGGTTGTGGCGGTGGGTGTTAGTGGCGGTGGTGGTGGTGGTGGTGGGTGCAGGTAGCAGTGACGGTGGTGTTGGTGATGGCAATAGAGGTGATGGTGGTGATGATAGAGTTAGTAGTAACTACGGTAGTGGTAGGGTTGTGGTGTAGGTAGTAATGGAGGTTATAGGTAGTGGTGGTGGTGGTGACCATGGTGGTAGTAGTGGTGTCAACGATGGTGATGGTGGTAATGGAAGCAGTGGTAGCGAAGGAGGTGGTGGTGGTGGGTTGTAGTAGAGGTGGTAAGTTGTGGTGGCGAAGGTTGTGGTGGAGGTGGTCGCGAGTAGTGACAGAGGTTTTTCATATTTAATGTTAAAAATGAAAAGCTTAATATGGTAATATTCAACACGCAAACTTGAAGGAATTTGAATTTCCTCATCTTTTAGATGAAATTTATTTTCCCTCAATGGAAGGAAAATTGGACACATTTAGGAATCCAATTCCTTCTCAAAACTTGAACTAAACATAGGAAAATGATGGAATTAAATTCCAATTTCTTCCGATTCCAACAGATTCCAGCAAACCAATTTTAAATTTAAATAAAATAGATTTTTAGAAAGTGCGAGTTTTGATGGTATTTATATACTTATTTATTATCTAATCGTTCTATAAATAAAGGACTTGTAGGTTATGTAAGAAAATATGTGTTAAAACTTTAAAAAAAAAAAAAAAAAAAAAAAAAAGAAAAAAACATCTTTAATTATCATCTAATCTGTATAATGAAATCATCAAATTGATGGATGAAATAGACATTTAGGTTAAGGGTCTTATTTTGGATACCAATCTACATCACCAACTTATAACTTATATTATAAGGTTACTTTTTAGGTAAATGATGCTAATTATTATGATATAATTATTATATTCATATTAATACTAATCATTACATTGTTTTTTAAAAAAGTAATTTTCTTTCTTTCTTTATATATATATATATATATATATATATATATATATATATATATATATTTGACTTTTTATTTTTAATTTATAATTTGTTTATTATATAACTATATAATTATTATTTATTATTCAAACTAGTTATTTTTATTAACTTTTTATTTTAAATGATACTTTATAAAAAAATATTAACAATCACATTTTTTTTTAAAAATCTTATCTGTGTCATCTTTTTTTTTTTTACAATATTTTTTTTTTGTTTTTTTAACATATGTACATGTCTCACATACATGAATTAAAAAAAATTATTTCTAAAGTTTGTTTTGATATTATAAAAATAATAAACACTATTAATAAAATACATTTACAAAATTCTCTTTTTTGTTATCATTTATTAAAATATTAGATATTAAAAATATTATTACAAAATTTTACATGAACCATATAATTATTATTTATTATTCCATCTACTTATTTTTATTAACTTTATATATATATATATATATATATATATATATATATATATATATATATATATATATATATATATATATTAAAAAAAGGAAGAAAAAAAAAGCTAACAAATGACATGACATGTGTTGGTATTTCGTATAGATTAATAAAATGAAAAAAAATAAAGGGCCTTAAAGTTGTGTATAACATGTATTTTTGTCACATTTATATTGATAAAAGTATTATCTCAAAAAATATATTATGTTGATGAAAGTATTGTCTCAAAAAATATATATAGTAGTTATTAAAAATATATGATCGCTATAATTAAAAAAAGATGGGTAGATGATGAACACAAAAGAAAAAAAAACGAGATAAATACAAGGTGTGGGTATTAAAAAAAGGTAGATGTATCATGTTATGCTACTAAAAAAAATGTGACAAAAGAAAAAGAATTCGGATAAAAAAAGTCGAAAGTTTTCAATACATATTATATTATAATTGCAGCGTTACTTTTATTGAAATTTAAAAGAAAAAAAAACTGTTTATATATATATATATATATATATATATATATATATATATGTATATATATATATAAGATAGAGAAATAGAGAAAGAAAAGAAATATAATTACTTTTTTGGAAAACAAAGTACCTAAAAATATAATAATTTTTACTAATAATAATGATTAGGCTATTTATACTAGATTGGTGTTTAATAGAGTGGTGTGTAGAAAGAAAATCCCTGATGTTAAATTTTAACTAGTCAACCACTTAATTATTTAGTAGGTGAGACATTTGCTCATTATTTTGACCTAATTCCTTATTCGTCATTCTGCGGTTTCCGACGCCCCGGTCTCCATTTTTGCCATTATCGATCGGAATTCTCTCTATAGGGAGCTCCTTTCACTCTTGTTTTCTCTATCGTTCACCGCTTTCTCCTTCAATCGGTAGATTCTTCTTGATTGTCTTCATCCCTACCAGGTAACATTCTTCTTTTTTCTGTTTC